TCTTCTCAGAAGGAGGACTACAATCTCTCCGCGGCTGAAGAAAACACGAATGAGTTAAAGCAATGTTTTCTTTGATTACAAGGGCATCGTTCATGATGAGTATGGTTTTCCGGGTCAGGCAGTAAACAAGGAGTACTACCGTGACGTATTGCTGTGATCGTGGGATGCTTCTCTTCGTAAAAGAGCAGAATTGCATGCTTTTGGTGAGAGGCAATTCCACCATGCTAACGCACCTGAGCATTTAGATCAGCTTGTGCAGGAGTTTTTAGACAAGTCAACATTCTTCATGTCCGACAACCACTATATTTTCCAGATCTCACTCCTTGCGACATTCTACTCCCCCCTCTCAAAAAAAAAACCCACCCACTAGAAAGTACAAGATTTCCATACATCGACGAAATCCATGAGATTTCCACAAAAAGTTATTTCAGGGATCATTCCATCAATTAAAATGACGCTGGATAAAGTGTGTGGCTACAGAAATGGACTATTTTGAAGGAGATTAAATACTAAATTAATAAGTATTGTAGTTTTATTTTTTCATAGCACCAGTCTCGTACAGCATTCAAACATAAATGTTGCACTTTTAGACTTATGGACTTATTAAAATAAATCTTATGAAGTCTTTATTGACAACGAGTAACTGCAACCGCGTAAAGCGAAACCTTAGAAATAGAATCCGCGGGTACGGCATGGTTATTTTAGTTTGTCCATTTATCTTAATTTTGCACGGGAGCACAACACTCTATGCAATTAATCACTTGAGCATATCGAATAAGCTGAGTTGACTTTCATATAAGTGGCAGTAATCTGGCATGAGAAATGTGCTCCACATGATACCGAATGAGATATCTCACTATGACTGTTATCAAAATAGAATTATCTTTCTCTATTTTTTCGATTTTGTCATATTCGACATTCTTTGTATGGATTTGGATCAACTTCTCTGTTCTGATAAATATTTCTTTAGAGAGATAATCTCTAAATCCCTGCTGCCTAGCCCTTGGTTTGAACTAATGGCTCCAGTGTATGTAAATCACCAGGAAATATGAAGAAATAACTTTAGGCATAAGCCCTTTGTTCACACACACACACACACACACACACACACACACACACACACACACACACACACACACACATATATATATATATATATATATATATATATATATATATATATATATTCAAAATGGGAAAAGAAAAATAAGGTATAGTAATTGTAAAATTTGAAAAACAAGATAATGTGTATTCGTTTACCTTTTTCTTTCTTTCGATTTAAAATGCAAATGCAAGATTCCTAAAAAATGTTCAAGAGCAACGCCAACAATGACAACCAATACGAATCTCATATTAAATATGTGAAAAGGTTGCTTTGTGTTTTTCTCTAAAAGCACTTAACCCTATACATGTGTATTTTACTTATTTTTGGCTTTTTACTTTAGTTGTATATAAATTATGTACATATATTTTCCCTTCTATTTTCTTTGTACACTTTTCTTTCTTTCTTTGTGCCTTTTCTCTCTTTTTACCTTATTTTTATCTAACACACACACACACACGTACATATATATATATATATATATATATATATATATATATATATATATACTAATTTTGTGTTTCCTACAATTGGTTCTTTTAATTTATTTTATTTTCTTCTTCAATTTCCTGCAGAATTGAAATCTACCGAGTTTTACTTTAAGCCGATTCAAGTTTTAGATAATTTCCCCGTGGTACTCAGAGTCCATGTCAATAATAACGCCTGCGTCGCCAGAGAATTGTTCTCATTGAAAATCTTAAACATTTCCTCTTTCTTATACTTTTATTTTACTTCACGTCACTCTTTCTCCATTACACTTGTTTCAGAATTAGAGACAAGACTTCGATATTCCTGAGCTCCAGAAATCTATTTTGAGAATATCTAAAACATGCTTTCTTTATTTTTTTATTTTTTTTCATGAGAGACCTTTCAGATTTCCAGGAGGCGTATTGTATAAATTTTTGTCAACGTCATACTTTTCTGTTTTTTCCTTCCTTTTTGACATTAAACCAAGAGGAGGAGATCTAATGAACTATGGCCACGTTATTTATAGCATCAAATTCTGTCAAAAGTACTCTTAAAAGCAAAGAGAATTTCACTTGAACAACATAGGCACTGATTTTAATTTGGCTGTCGGATTATCTTCTGAAAGGTTTATCTGCATAAATGACAATCTCAAAGATATATGTACATATCTTATTTGTGCTTTTTCTTTCAAGTCGTGATGATCATGGCTCTCCACAATTCCTGACCTGAGTAGATCATAATAATTTTTTTTTTTTTGCTATCTCTCCTGATCTCTAGACAGCCAGTTAAGTATCATATTCACTGCTTTCCTCTGTCTGTCTTCTCTTCAAAGTCTCTTGTAAGTGTCAAATTCTCCAAACCCTCTTTCCTCATTATATATCCTAGAAATGTCAATTGTATTCCATCAGCGAGAAATAAGTTCCACTCGAGCAGTTTTATACTCGATCTTTGGAAATGACACCAAAGCGGATGTTTTCGAGATCTCTACAATCGTGACCTTTTCAAGTTTATGGTTAATCGTTATATTCCCCACATATCAGCATAAACTGTGTCTGTTACTCTGTAACCTTTTAACTTGAACGCTACCCGGGCCTTCTGCACGGGGGAACCTCACTGTAAAAAAAAAGTTACCTGAAAATTCTTCATTACTCACATGTTCAGTCTATGATATACGTCTGTAGAACCACATTTCTCTTGCCTGAATTCTCTTATTCCTCTGGGATCAGATTCTCCAACATTCACTGCCATATAGAACCAGCGATATTACATAACAGTTCATCAATCTTTTCTTCGTTCCTAACTAATTGTTCCTGTTTCTTTATACTTGGCTTAGCTTTTGGAAGACATATTTCGCTATCCCAGTGCGCTTTCGGCTTTTCTTCCCTCTGTTAACACAGTTGCTGCATTTTTATTTTTTTTCTACTTTATTGATTGTTTTATCTCTAATTCCTTGCATCTTTGTCTTTTCCTTTTTTTTTCTAACGATCAAACATTCTGTCTTTTTAAAACTGATGTTTAGTGCTTTGTTCTTGAGTTCCTTTACAGTTTCCTTGCTGCATCTATTATCAACACTGTGGCATCTGCATATCTTTTGTTTTTTAATACTCTAGTCACCAATAATGAATCTTATTATGACTCTAATTCTTCCAACAATATAAAGATTCAATAAGTCCAGTGAGAAGACATCTCCTTGTCTTAAGTCCTTTTCTATTTTTATGTATTATACAATTCCTGGTTTTAATAAACACTACCGTGTTTCAGATTCTAGACATTGAACACGCAATTCTTAACCCCACATTTCTCAAGGGAGTTTTTCACTTCGTCAATTTGCCTCGTCATTGTCTCCTTTCCTGCTGTTATTCATATTATAAATGACTCATAAATCAAAGTTTGAAGAATAGATGCGGATAATTATCAGGTAGGACTTAGCATAACGTCAAGTAATTTACAACCAGGCTTTAGATCATAGAAATTGGCTTTCGCTGCGGTGATCATCATTTAGCGCTCTTTGGGGGAGAAAATGTCTCTTTTCAACTGAATATGTAGCGAAAAAATAGAATGGTTTGAATCAATCTTTTCTTCGTCTTTTCTGAACCGTGTTACCTAAAAAAAAAGTGCAATCATGACTATCCAGGAATACTTATCCTTTGTCGTACTAGTGTTTGAACTTTTACGTATTCTCATACTACTCACCATCCATTTACGCCAGCTTTTTAGGCACGGTAATCGTTACTTCACTCTGTCTCGCTTTATCTTTAGTATGTACTTTGAGTGTCAGATTTTCCAAGCCTTCTTTCCTTATTATGTGTATCAGATATTTCAAATATCTGAACTTTGGCATTTTCCTCTCTACTTCCTCATTGATCACATATTCAGTGCATGATATTTTTCCGTGTCCTTCCACAGGACCGTATTTCTCCTGCCTCAAGTCCTCCAACCTTTGTTTGTAAAGATATTGTCTAGCATTCTCTGTTGTATAGGATGATTTTTCATCACCTTTATCCAACGAAATTTTCTATTTTCTTTGTATTGTCTTTACATTCTGGAAGGCATCTGATTGATTCATTCATTCATTTTCTACGGCTTATTCAAGCCATAAAATATTTTTAGATTGTAAGATTTTTTTTTTTTTTTTTAGGTAATAATGATTTAGGAATACAAGTCTTATTAATTAAACCATAATGAGAAGAGGTGGATTCATATCTTTCTCAAGGTTATTTTCGCGTAAGTGAATATAAAGAACACGGCAAAAACTGGAATTGGACAACCCGATTAACAATTCCAAGACATTATGCATTATACTACCCGCACTTGCAAGCTTACAACACCTGATATTCTCAGGCGGTAACCAATTTATATAATGATCAGGCTCGATGTTGCTTAACTTCAGTTATCATTCAAGAACCGCTTTTTTAAAGTAACATAGCCGTAATATCATCTTCGAGCCGTCATTATTTATTCAGTTAGTCTATTTTAGCACTCCATTGGTCATCAATCACCTCCATCTAACAATTGTGGTTTATGGTGACATTCAAGGTAAAATAGTGCATTGGCTTGCTGGCTCCTTTTGTGCCGTGTATGTTACTTCGTCCTTCATCTCAAAAGTTAAAGAGACAGATCTACAAAGCATCAGATGGTTTGAATTCAGGCTTTTCTCTCTTCTAAGCTGGTTGTCCATCAACGTTAGGGCCTATCGTCGATGTATTTTCTCCTTTTCTCCTTTTTTTATTCATCTATGTTTTTATGGATGTTCATATGTCTATGTTTTTATTCAAAGTCTATGTTTTTCCATAATATATTATCGGTTCTTGGCATGTTGCGTGTGAATTCGCTTTATTCTATTGCTTGTGCAGTATCATAATTCCAGAATGTAACATGTTTGACGTATTGTAAACATTCACGCAACTGGAAAAACAGTGGAAAGTAGTACTCATAACAGTATGAGTACTTGAACTTGTACGAACAAAACTAAGAAATAGATAACAGAAAATGAACATTCCAGGAAGAAGTGAAACTGTCAAGAGATTAGAAGAGATTTTCATGACAAAAATATTATTATTATTATCTTTTTTTATTTCCTTTGATATCTGGCGTTTTCAGATTTCTTTCCGGGTCCCGCCCAGGGACCTAAGGTTAGAAATGGCATCATGAGACTTTCCAATGAAAAAAAAATTACATAGATAAAGCCCTTCTTAAAGTGTGGGCTGTACTTGTCAGAACAATTTTTTGTATCTCTTTGAGGCATGGACTTCCAGGAATCCCTTCAATTAGTCTACTGTAATCTTTTCCAACCAATCCTAGGGCTCCAACTACAACAGGGATTTTTGATGTTCCCATATGCCACATTTTTGAGATTTCTATTTCAAGGTCCTTGTATTTTGACAGATTTTTGAATATCTTCAAAGATAAATTGCCGTGAGTAGGGACTGCCATATTATTATTATTATTAATAATAATAATAATAGTAATAATAATAATAATAATAATAATAATAATAAGATATGGCTTGTCCAGCGGATAAGATATGGCTTGTCCAGCGGATAAGATATGGCTTGTCCAGCGGATTGTAACATAGCAACCAAGGAATTTGAAAAACTATCAAAATACAAAGACCTGGAAATTGAAATAGAAAAAATGTGGAAATTGAAAACAAGAATAATACCAGTGGTAATAGGTGCACTTGGAATTATAAAAAATGGAACAAAACAACACATTGAAAGAATCCCTGGAAACCCCAGCTTAAGAGACATACAGAAAATTGTCTTATTAAGTACAGCACACACACTAAGGAGAACTTTGTCTATGTAACGCTAGCAACTTCATCGGAGATAAAAAAAAAAAAAAAAAAAAAATTAAAATTAAATGTGGCCATAACAACACACCACGACCTGCCTTAGGTCTTTCCGCAGACTTGGTAGGTAGTGTGTCCATAGCAGAAATCGAATGATGATGATAATAATAATAATAATAATAATAATAATCAGAGGAAGAAGATGAATTATGCAAGTTTTACGTGAAGGAAACTGCAGGAAACTGGTATGAACATCACCTAGACTTTGTTACAGAGAGAGAACCTTTAACAATTAGATGGGACTTTGCAATACACACAGTCAGAACAATCAATGCCAATCGGGAAGACATCGTGATCAAAGATCATAAAAAAGAAATGTTTTTCATACTAACATGGCAGCCGCTGCAGGTTGAAGGTCTTAAAAAACTACCAAAATACAAAGATCTTGAAATGGAAATCTCAAAAAATGTGGCACATGAGGATATTAACGATTCCTGTTGCAATTGGAGGCTTCGAATTGGTGGGAAAAGTGTCGTAAAGATTCATTTACATGATTCTTGGTAGCCCATGCCTTAAAGAAATTTAAAAAATGTACTGAAAAGTACAACCCATCCATAACGAAGGACTTTATCTATGTAAACTGTGTGTGATTTTACTTTTTAGTTTTACAAAAATGATCAGTGGTAAATGTCATGATCCCATTTCTAATCTTAGTTCTCTGGGTGGTACACGGAAGGAAATATGTATACAATAAAAATCAAAGGAAATAAATAAATAAATACATAAATAAATAGATAATAATAATAATAATTGTTATGGTCCAGGTTAGGACCAAGGAAGAACAAGACGAACACAAGAGTAGAAATAACGAAGGTATATTACACGAAATAATAATACAAGATGTGGAAGGTGTTAGTATGACTGTCAGTCTGGTTTGGAGTGAACTACTATCGGCTCGACTCTGTTTGGTATCTAGACCCCCCTCCACCCCCACGAGGGTTGCATGTGGCTCAAGGCCGAGTTTAACGTGGGTTTCCCAATCCCCTAGGCTCGGACAAAAAGATGCCCTTAGAACTCGCACAAACGGGATCGGGTTGGTCAACCTCCCCGAACGAGACTCTGCCCTTCAGCGGAGCCTCGTCCGGGTTCCTCTCTGCTCAGAAGCAGAGAGTTCGACCGTCAAGCCGAGAAGCTCGGCTTGAATCGACCCTCTCTCTTGAGAGGCGTAGTATACATTGTGTTAGGAAGAGTCCATTCTGTAGTTATAGGTAAGGACCCATGACAATAATAATAATAATAATAATAATAATTACCAAGAGCTTTAGGAGGCCGAAGTCTAATCCAATTTAAATCTAAAAACTACAACAGCCGGATTGAAAGCATACCTCATAAAAACTAATGATCCTATTTTACAGATATTAAAACACCAAATCCACTCTATCAAAAAAGAAGTTGCACTTTTCAAGAAATAGCTTAATATGCCTGAAAGCCTACCAACAAAAAGTAAGCAAATGCCATCTACACCAAACGAGTAAAATAGAAAGCAAAACAATTTGACCACATGAAATTACAAAAAAAAATGCTGGTAGGACAATACGCTCCATGGCAAATCCATAAAAAGAACGAAAGAAGTTGTGAACCAACAGAAAACACATCAGTGGCTGAGGAGCACAGGGTAGAAAGCTGAGAGAGAAGGTCTAACTATTGAAGGTCAAAACCAAAACATCGCAACGAGATCATTTCACTCTCACATAATAAAGAATAGAACTAACCCGAAATGCAGGATCTGTGAAAAATATGAAGATCATATGACCTCAGGATGTCTGGAACTAGGGAAAAATGAGTATACCCACAGATATAACAAGTTAGCGGCACATGTGAACGGCAAGATATGCAAGAAGTACAAAAACTGAATCCCTGAGAGATGGTATGATCACCAACCAGACAGTTACATATAATAATGATGTAACTATCCTCTGGGATATGCCAATTCAAACTGACAGGGAAATAAAAGCCAACAGACCTTATATTATCGTAAAAGACAAAACAATTCAGGAAGTGTATGCTTGTTGATATGTCAATAAGCATACCATCTGAGAGAAACACCTCAACGAAAATTATTGAGAAATTGCCCAAATACAAAGACCTGGAGATCAAGATTAACAGCATGCAGGGAATGAAAACTAAGACGGTACCAAAATCGAATCGGAGCTCTGGGCCTCGTGAGGAAATGAAATGGACAATTTTACAAACACTCAGGTAAAATCAACGTACAATATTCCCAGAAGATCGCCCTCCTAGGAACATCTCATATACTAAGAAAAGTGTTCTCTTTTAAATGATAATTATCTCATACGGCCTAAGAACTATAGTTTGGAAACGTCTCTACATGATATAAGGCAGAAAATATTACATACACAAATAATAATAATAATTATCCTTTGATGAAATAATATTGAAAAGAAAAGCTACCACATCGTGGAGACCTTGTATTAAAACAGCGCCAAGGAGATTCATCCTAGCCACTCAAACTCAATACCTACCAACAATATTCTTCATTCATGAGCTGTCTACATCCATTTCAGACATAGTTGTTATGGGTCTACAGAACTTGTAGCCCTTAGGAGTTTTTTTCTTTACTAATAATTACAAGCCCTGTTCCACGATTCATTCCCACAAGCTCCTCACAAAATGACTCTCTGCTTTCTCTTATCTGTCTTGCCCTAAATATGTCTCGTGAGGGTTAAGCTCTCCTTTGGCGTTCAGTGTCAAGGGAATTTCAGATGTCTTTTTTTTTCTTTTGAGTATAAGTTTTCATTCTGTTTAGATTTTATTCAACAGTTGTTTTTTACTTAATCGTCATGGAATTCTCTGTGTCATTCTGTAGAACTACATTTCTGCAAACTCTCAACTTTCCCCTTTCGTTGATTGTCCAACTTTTATTGCTATACAAAAAGATAAATATCACATAGTAATCCACACTCTTTTCAAATGCATGTCCAGATCTCGATATCGCGTTTTCTATCATTTGTGAAAACGCTTCCTTGATAATTAAACTTCTGTATCTGCTTGATGTTTATATCGCCAATGTGTAACTCGAATTTTGGGTTTTTAGTCTTGCTTTCTATAGTAGTTGGTTAGTCATTTTTTTTTACTCTTTTTCTGAGTGTTGCATTCTCCTTCGTACTGGTGGAATCTTGGTCGACGACGTCGATTCGCTCATATGTTGTAACTTCTCTCTCTCCTCTTTGTCATCTTCCGGCCGGTGATCGCTAGCCATTTTGGCTCGGAGATAAAAGACCTTCAACAAACGGAATTTTAAGTTCACTATTCTATTAAACACGTTGATGTGTAAATTTCTAACTAGTCAGTTGTGTTTCTTTCCCCCTCCACAGACACGAATCACGTCTACATTGTTCGACATGTAAGAATGAACTCCCCCAAAACCCTTTCTCTATATATAGTTCTCACGCTGACTCAGCCAATCAAAATCGACTTCCTTTCTTTTGCCTTGTATCTGATCCCTTAAGTCAAACTGAGGAAGTCAGAGCAGCTATACATTCTAAAAAAAGATAAGTCTGCTAAACTATTATTTAACAAGTTGCCTTGTAGTTTCCTCTTCCAGTAGACCATCAACACAGTGTCACTACCGTCTCATATATTGTTAAGATTACGACAACCGATAATAAATCCAGGTTGGGTTTCCACGTTGCTTTAGGATAGCCTCGATGTGGAGGTGGAATAAATCTAGAGAGAGGACGCTCTCCCTTGTCTCATCATCCTTTCTATTTTTTATCGCTGCGCAGTTACACATTTTAATAAATAACACTGATTCAAAATGTCGTTTTTGTACAAGAACTGAGAACCGTAATATCTATTTTTTTTCCTTTTCTCTTTTTCTTTTTTGAAATCATTACACCCCAGGTGAGGCACTAACACCACTAAGATTTACTGTATGTAAGAGAATATAAAAAAATAGTAGGGAAAGAGAACAATAGAAGAACACGAAGCAAGAAGACATAAGCTAACGGTTAATATTACATTTAAATTTTTGAGAATCAAAGTTGACTTGGAAGCAAGAAGCGGGAAGGGCGGTCCACAAGCAAGAAGTGCTAGTGAAGAAATTTTTAGCATAGAACTTGCGGTTACCTCTAGCCACTTCAACTTTTAACATGAGGAGACCTTGCTGTACATGTAGTACTGCGTTGAAATTCATAACTTTTGTTACCATAGCAGTAAATTCATCAGGCAATTTCTATGAAAATATTTATAGAAAAGGCACGGGAAATCTATGTTACAGTGGAGGGAAAGCGACTGAAGCCGAGATATCAGGTCAGGACCAATAAATTTATTGTTTCTCATTTCGGATTTTTTAAGCATCAAAAGCTTGTGCGGGTGGTGTAATGCATACTCCCTCGGAATTATAAATAGGTGAACCGAGTTTGAATTCCAATAGAGTTCATTGCATTGAAGTAAGCGAATAATTTTTGGAAAGGCATGAATCTCTCTTCTCTCTCGCATCTAAGGGTTAAATAGCATAAAAAATCTGCTGTTCTTTATAAAAGTGGTTGAAAACCGCTCTCGAAGGACAAAACTGAATTCAAAACAAATAGTGATAAGGAAAGTTTCTATTATTTTTTTTTTTTTTTTTTGGACGAAATTGCTTAACAAAAAAAGTAACTTATTGTATATGAATTGTGTAAGGAACTATATAAAGTATACCTGGACAACTGCATTTTCAATAATCCCCTAAAACAAAACAAAACCTCTAAAAATGTATGCTAATTTTATGGTGTCAGAGTTCAGTGTTCAGAACAGTATAGTTTACCGAAATCATGAAATCATACACAAAATTCTCGTATTTAGGACGAGACTGGAAAATGAATCAGGATAATGAAATACGAAAGAAAAAAAATAATTTCATTAGAGGTTTTGAATTGTAATGTCAACGGTAGTATTAACCTTTTCTCTATATGGAAACATTTAATATTCGTTGACCGTGTAGCCAATGCTACATTCGTTTGAAATTTATAAAATCTCCCTTTTAAAATAGGTTTTTCAGTAAAATACGTTTTCAAGTCCAGTAGCTGTTATCACTCTTTCCAATATTAATAGGGGTTTCCTTCCTAAACTTTTATTTGAAGTAGTGTAGAATGTTAACATTTTGATTATGTCATTATTTTCTCTTCCAGTTACAAACGTTATGCATTTTAATTTTTTCTGCTGTTGCTAGTCTTCAAGTGATGTCGTGTTTGTTCTTTGGAAGAATTCCTTGTTTGGAAATTTGTGGCCCCAGTCCACAATATTCAAATAAGGATGATCTTTGCCACGTTCCCCAGGAATCAGAAGAATATTAGAAGAATATTAATGCAGGTTCCACGCAAAAGACTTCTCTTTTTATTAGAAATAAATTTTCTCGTCAATAAAACTGATGTGAATGAGCAATATGTTAAACTTCTGTAGAATGTTAATATCTTGAATATGTCATTATTTTCTCGTCGAGTTACATGTACTATCCATTTTAGTTGTTGCTGTTGTTGGTAGTCTTCAGGTGATGTGGTTCCTGTTATTTTGTACAGTCCTTCGCTTGCGATTCTGTAGCGCCTGTTCACGATGTTCAAGGACGGATGGATTTTGCCAAGACCCTCCGGCTCCATTTGCTCATAGCCTTTCGTATCCATTCAAGGTCTTTTTTTTAATCATTCTAAATTCTTCTGGATTTAGAGTAAAGATCCACTTGAGAAAGACCGAAGAAGTCTTCAGCTGAGTCGTGGTTTTGAAATCAATGTTTGCTATTATGAGTCCTAAGATAAACAACATAAGCAACATTTCGATTCAGGGTATAAGCTAAGCCAAAAAGTCACACGTTGTTTATGCTATGAAGTCCATGGGGAAATCAGACGGTTCACCTCTGTATCTATCTCCAGTAGTGCTAGCTACGCTTAAATATTCTGTTTGAAAGTCATTTAGAAATAGAAGAAACTATCGAAAATATGTTTGTATTATTAATAACTAAAAATAACAAAACATTCGTCGCTGCAAAGTTGCCACTACCGTCTGTTGCTTTAGACAATGATGCAAAGACGTAAAGAGAAACTACAATTTAGTTGTTTCGTATCACATATTAGGAAAATAAAGAACGCCTTTGCTATTTCATATGTGACGCATAAGGAATTCTAGACTAGATGACAAAGTCATGGTTCGCAAATAAGAAAATTACAAAAAAAAAAAAGAACGAAATTCTTATCAGAGGTTAACAAGAAAAATTATAGAAAAACAAGCTAGAATGTTTTTGATGCAGACAGCTCATCTCCAGTAATAAATGTTACCTATTCGAGATAGATATTCGAGCCCTCAATTCATACAAAGAGCTGTGAAGTGCATATATGTAGTGGTACGATGGATAAATTGTCTGTATTTCATATTTTTAATTTTGCGCATGCGCGTTGTTTGTTTTTGAGTTGTCGTCTGCACAGTAAAGTAGGGAGAGTTGAAATTTGGAAACAGCATGCTGTCCTGTTGGCATTTGCACGAAAAGCTCCAATACGAACATTTCAGAGCATTTGGGTTTCAATCTGAGTTCAGTGCAAAAAATTCGGAAACAGGGAGATGATTCTAATGGCGATTGCGAAGGTGTTTGTTGTGATTACTAGTGATGGTGAGGTTATACCTCAATTCAGCTTCCCACAGAACATGGATGCCTACATCAAGTGCCTTGAGGAGGTAGTATGGTTCTGGGTCAAGGGGTGACTGTCTGGGAACGTGACTCTGTACCATACCACAGAAGCAGGAGAACACAGTCATGGCTCTCAGACAATTTCTGTGACCACAGCTGGTCACCTAATTTCCCAAACTCCAATCCCCTTAATCGTTATGTGTGAGTTGCAGTTGAGCGGGAAATCAGCAAACTTCTTTGTAACACCAAAGATGAACTGAAGGTAAGGATTATGACAGCATTCACCAATTTAAATAAGTAACCGTCTCGAATAACTGCTGGAGATTCTGAAGAATATTTACTCTTCAGTATTTCTTAAAATGCGAAATGGTATTCGCTATCTTCAGGGCGTACCGTATATATTCGGATATAGTGGGAGTTTTTTTTATGTTCAGTTATTTTTACGCAAAAAATAGGGGGTCGCACTATACATAGGTAATCTTTTTGGAAGTTGTTAAGAATCATTTTCGATGACCGGTTGTACAATACACATGTACCCTTTTTTGGAAGGGTTAAAATTTTATGCCGTTTTAGTGACCTTAAGATGACTGGTAGGCCTAGGTTCTCAAGATACCTCTGGGAAGAAACTTAGCCTACGTAGAAGTGAAGCCCGGAGTAAAAGAGATACCGTAGTCAAGCATTAACGAAAGAAAATGCATGGTATCTAAATCTTCGTATTTTACAGTTAGTGCTTTTTCTCGCCATTTTGTTATAGCTTTGTACAATAAAGAATGAAGACCCTTTACTTGATATAAAATATGTCAAGGATGATAACCACTACTGCAATATTTGACTACGATAGGCTTAATAGTATTGTCCAGAAGATGAGTTCGCCTCATGCACGAGTTATATGATAAAATCAGTTGTTTTTGGGGTTTTTTTCACAAAAAAATCAGATGTCACGCTATACATTAAGTAAATATATAGACGAATATATTAAGTAATCTATAATAATATGAAGCAAAAACTGAATAACAATTATTATTTCTGTGTTCAGCGTTTATTATCCATTTCCACAAGTAACGATAATTCTCATACCAGAAATTCAGCTGTCCTGTGTATAACGATAAACTACATCCGCGTCTTGGGTAAGACAATAAAATACATCCAACAGCAAGGCCTCTGATCAGAAGGTTTTGAGGAGTGTGGAACCACCTCTTAATTGCTAAAGTTCTTAGGGCCACCCTGACCCGGGGTGGTAGCACCAGTTAGGGTCCCAGGTATTGGTAAATAGTTAATCCCCAAACTGGTTTCAAAACATCATGAAAATGTAAAAACAGGTTTAATACCAGAAATACTTTGTAAAAAATTATTACCAGCAAGAAATTTTTGAACAACAGTACTCAACAGTATGTTCATTGGTGTATAACACCAGCTATATATTTTTGAAGAAAAAAAAAATATTACCAGCAATAAAAATTGTTGGCATTAAATAACCCATTGTGGTTGATATGCCGTAAAACAAAAACTAAACCAAACCAGAAATTCAGACGGAAATTGCTTCATTCATAATAATCTTCGATTCCTTGTCGTCTTTATCACTTGCGTTTCGTCCAACTTACACTCTGGCCTTCCAGCGTACGGCTATATCATAATGAAACATTAGTTTCCGTACGATCACAGAAGTTAAGCGAGGTCGAGCCTGGTCAGTACCTAGATGGGGAACTGCTTGGAAAAAATCTATGTGTGGATGATGTCAAGGATAATGTCGAGCTTGGGAATCTCAAATGAAGTAAGCTTGGATGTGAAGGTGGTGTAATGGATAACAGCTTGTAATTGGAAATCGGATGGCCGAGTTCTAATTTCAGTCCAATTCGTTATATTCACTTATATGCAAATAAGCTTTGAAAAGGCATGAATCCAGCATATCCTTCCAGTTATGAGTTAATTAGTTGAACTTGTATCACTAAATCATTATTATTCAAAAAGAAATTACTTAAAATCTAACTATATTCTCTGACATTAAATAACATTCAAAATGTTGGTAAGTCTTAGAATTTGATTAAGATATGTGAGAAAAATAACCTTCAAAATGTTTGTAAACCGTAAGAAACAGCTGAGTTTTCGAGTTTTCGAAATTTGGAAGTTGGCTCAGAAGTTTCAAGACTCGACATGTAATTCAAAATTTCAGGTGAACAGCGCTCAGCCAATACGAATTTAAATAAGATATTTGAATAAAATAATCTGCCAAATGTTGGTAAGCCGTAGAAAACAGCTGATTTTTCGAGTTTTTTGAAATTTGATCTGAAAGATAATCCATTTCTCTTATCACGAAAGACCGGGGAGTGAATCGGTCGAAATACCATGATAGACACTTTAAAGACCAGGAATTTGTCTGTACTATGCAATATCGACTGATTACAAAATCTCATCCATGAGTATTCAGAGAATGAAACAAAAAAAAAAGGTAATTTCTAATCACTATGTTGTAGATGTCATTAAGAACTCTTGTATCCGTCTTATACTTGGAGCTACTACAAATATAATTTCACCCGCATACTGTTCAAAAGCAAAAGGTGAGCGACTTAATTACCACAGCGAATAGTCCCTACAAACATTCTTCCCATCCTTTCGTTTCTGATTAAATACTTTACGCAAGTCTCTGATCCTCAAGCAGATAAAACGAAATTGATTGGTTTCGGTTTGTCTAAACAAAATTGATTTCTAACCGATGCCGTGTCTTAAGAGATAACGGAAATACGATTCTTGTGAGAAACAGTATGTTCATTGGTGTATAACACCCAACAGTACGATCATTGGTGTATAACACTCAACAGTACGATCATTGGTGTATAACACTCAACAGTACGATCATTGGTGTATAACACCCAACAGTATGTCCATTGGTGTATAACACTCAACAGTATGTTCATTAGTGTATAACACCCAACAGTATGTCCATTGGTGTATAACACTCAACAGCATGTTCATTGGTGTATAACACCCAACAGTATGTTCATTGGTGTATAACACTCAACAGCATGTTCATTAGTGTATAACACCCAACAGTATGTCCATTGGTGTATAACACTCAACAGTACGATCATTGGTGTATAACACTCAACAGTACGATCATTGGTGTATAACACTAACACGATCAACAGTACGATCATTGGTGTATAACACCCAACAGTATGTTCATTGGTGTATAACACCCAACAGTATGTTCATTGGTGTATAACACTCAACAGTACGATCATTGGTGTATAACACTCAACAGCATGTTCATTAGTGTATAACACCCAACAGTATGTCCATTGGTGTATAACACTCAACAGTACGATCATTGGTGTATAACACTCAACAGTACGATCATTGGTGTATAACACTCAACAGTACGATCATTGGTGTATAACACCCAACAGTATGTTCATTGGTGTATAACACCCAACAGTACGTTCATTGGTGTATAACACTCAACAGTACGATCATTGGTGTATAACACTCAACAGCATGTTCATTAGTGTATAACACCCAACAGTATGTCCATTGGTGTATAACACTCAACAGTACGATCATTGGTGTATAACACTCAACAGTACGATCATTGGTGTATAACACTCAACAGTATGTTCATTGGTGTATAACACTCAACAGTACGATCATTGTTGTATAACACTCAACAGTACGATCATTGGTGTATAACACCCAACAGTATGTCCATTGGTGTATAACACTCAACAGTATGTTCATTAGTGTATAACACCCAACAGTATGTCCATTGGTGTATAACACTCAACAGCATGTTCATTGGTGTATAACACCCAACAGTATGTTCATTGGTGTATAACACTCAACAGCATGTTCATTAGTGTATAACACCCAACAGTATGTCCATTGGTGTATAACACTCAACAGTACGATCATTGGTGTATAACACTCAACAGTATGTTCATTGGTGTATAACACCCAACAGTATGTTCATTGGTGTATAACACCCAACAGTATGTTCATTGGTGTATAACACTCAACAGTACGATCATTGGTGTATAACACTCAACAGCATGTTCATTAGTGTATAACACCCAACAGTATGTCCATTGGTGTATAACACTCAACAGTACGATCATTGGTGTATAACACTCAACAGTACGATCATTGGTGTATAACACCCAACAGTATGTTCATTGGTGTATAACACCCAACAGTATGTTCATTGGTGTATAACACCCAACAGTACGTTCATTGGTGTATAACACTCAACAGTACGATCATTGGTGTATAACACTCAACAGCATGTTCATTAGTGTATAACACCCAACAGTATGTCCATTGGTGTATAACACTCAACAGTACGATCATTGGTGTATAACACTCAACAGTACGATCATTGGTGTATAACACTCAACAGTACGATCATTGGTGTATAACACCCAACAGTATGTTCATTGGTGTATAACACTCAACAGTACGATCATTGGTGTATAACACTCAACAGCATGTTCATTAGTGTATAACACCCAACAGTATGTCCATTGGTGTATAACACTCAACAGTACGATCATTGGTGTATAACACTCAACAGTACGATCATTGGTGTATAACACTCAACAGTACGATCATTGGTGTATAACACCCAACAGTATGTTCATTGGTGTATAACACCCAACAGTATGTTCATTGGTGTATAACACCCAACAGTATATTCATTGGTGTATAACACTCAACAGCATGTTCATAACACTAACAGTGTTCATAAACACCCAACAGTATGTCCATTGGTGTATAACACTCAACAGTACGATCATTGGTGTATAACACTCAACAGTACGATCATTGGTGTATAACACTCAACAGTATGTTCATTGGCGTATAACACCCAACACGCGGGACTCGACAACTAACAAACCATTGGTCACAGCCTATTATATATATTTTTATTAGTCTTGCCTATATACAGTACAACTCCTCTATACCGAACACCCAAAATGATCGGTATTGAGGATACTGTTCGGATTCGAGGAAAAAATTGGTTGCTGTGGCAAGTTTAAAATTGCTATTAAGTCTTAGAGTTTAGTATACAAAAGATATTTTGTAAAGTTGATTCGTTTTTGTTAAAAATGTAGATTGAATACTGTTGTAACCTAGGAACGGTTACTGGATGGTGGGGGGGGAGTAATCAAAACGGAAGTTGGGAATGAAATGGTAATGTTTATAACATCAACAAAATACAATACTCGCCAGTGGTGAACTATTTAGATAGTATATTACTCCCTCACTTACAGTAGTGTCCAACGTATTTATGAGGATTGGGAAATACCTATTCAGATTCATATGTATGGTACATAACATAAATGTACAAAAATAATCGACAACCAATAGTAATGAAAGATTTGGGGCTAAACAAATATTGTAATTTCTGAAAAATACTAAGTCACATTATGAAATATTTAAAACTTTATGAAATATGTTATTCAAATTCGTATTGGCTGAGCGCTGTTCATCTGAAAGTTTTAATTGTCGTATTCTATGTCGAGTCCTGAAACTTCTAAGTCAACCCTCAGTAAATTTCATAATTATTTTCTGGTTCTTTTCAGCATATAGAGTCTTTACTTTGACATTTGCATCGGACCTGATATTGCCACACCTTCTAATTGTTTTGAGTAAAACCACGCGTATAGAGTTTGGTCAAATTGATGTTCTTTTGGTTCATGAAAAGTTTTTCGTAAAGCATTTCTCCGTTTTATTTTCACAGGACGAAGCAGCTTGTAAAATTTTTTATCAATGAATTTTCATATAAAAAAGTGTGCTTCTTGTTATATTCTTTCATTTTCACCGAGTTACTTATTCTTTTATTTATATTTTCAAGAATTTCACGTTTTTTCTTAAAAGTCAAGGTAATTGTGTGCCTTTTTGAATTTAGTGGGCAAAAAACAATCTTATTCAAAAACAATTGCAATCTGTAAAGGAAGTCAAAAATAAGAATATACAGTATAACTCCTTAAACCGAATATCCGATATGTTTGGTATTGAGGGTACTGTTCTGATTTGAGGAAGAAAATGCTTCATATTCATGTCAATACAAAAGTTTAGATTTGAAGATGTGTCCAGATTCGAGTAAATCTAATTCGAGGAAGTCTAGAATATGCAATGTTCCGATTTGGGGATTTCTACTGTGTATACATACATACATACATATATATATATATATATATATATATATATATATATATGTGTGTGTGTGTGTGTGTGTGTGTGTGTGTGTGTGTAGGTAGGTAGGTATGTATGTATGTATATAAACAAGGAAGAAAATGCTTCATATTCATGTCAATACAAAAGTTCTAATTTGAAGATGTGTCCAGATTCGAGGAAATTTAATTCAAGTTAGTCTAGATTATGCTATGTTCGGATTTGGGGGGATCTACACTATTTAAGTTTTAAAACCTATTTCGAACATTTATCTGCAAGTGAAAAATATGTACGCAGGAAATCATCTGAATGCACAAATCCAGTGGTCTCTGCGAGTTGAGCCGATAACCGCAGTTTCTCTCTTCTTGCCATGAATTAATTTCCACAACTGGCTCTACAATAATGTAAGAAAACATAAACACCTGACAAACTGCTTTCCTTACAGTGCAGTTTATATTCAGGAGTGCTTGCCTGTATAAATATCTGAAAAAATGCAATAGAAAAGAAATGATTATGAACCAATGATATGATAAGAAATGATTGTGAATCAGGGGCTGTAACCTTGAATGTTTAATGATGATACCACGCATTATTCAAACTTAATAATTGCAAATTATTTTTAATTCGAAAAACGTTGGTGTAGTGCGTATATTAATTATTTGATATGCATCCTGTACAGTCTGTCTTTTGCCATATCGTCAAATGAAACAATTAGTAGAAGCTGCTTCCATATTACATGAAATACCTTAAAACGTTAATATTTCCATATAGATCTTATTATAAAAGGAACAGCGGAAATACCTCTGACATTGTAAAGGTTGACAGAAGGAACAAGATAACTGTTATTAGACAAATGCGTGCGCTCTTGTTTAAACAAAGGGCTGCAGTTTTTATTCATTTTGCCTTAAAAAGGACCTCCTGCAAATGGCGGCCTCTATTCGCTATACACAATTCAAGACGATTTCTAAAATCTCCCATTACCAGGAAGTTCGAGCACTTCGAGGTCTTCCAAGTGGCTTTCTTTTAAGAAAACTCTAGCTCTGAAATTTTCAACCCATAGAAGTATCGATTTTTCAGTCCGGAACAGTATCATTCCGACGGAACATGAAAAGAGCACGAAAACCTCCGTGTTGCAATTACAGATTCGCCAGTCTTAAAACGGTTTAAATAGCAAACGCACTGTATGCACCGATCCAAGCCATGATGCTAACTGATGACATCTAAAAAGAAAAGTGGTCAGAGATTAGCTAGATAAATGCACCATAGTCACTTGCACTCCAAGTTCATTAGCACGACGCAGGTGACAGTTTAAAATGCGGGAGGTTTTCTGCTGCCCATCGTATAATGAACAAGTCAGTCTTTTTCTTTTATTTCTCACATTAACGCTAAACCCATTCGGCGTGGTATAAGTGCTTCGAGATGTTGTCTCACTAGAAACAATTCCAACTGAGAAGCGATTTCGATCGTCACTGGGTGCCCCATACTCTTTGCCTTGTGTCACATATAAGCTATGCTAACAAAATTGCCATTCATAAAGTTAACAAGTGCATCTTACCTTAATTCGACCGTCTTTCCTGGTGGTAAACAAATAACTGATATACTTACTATATTCACCTATAAGCATATATATATATATATATATATATATATATATATATATATATATATATATATATATATATATATATATATATATATATATATATATATATATATTCTGAAACTACATTACCCAGGATACTTAGAGAAGTATATTTCATTTTTATCAAAGGTGGGGCATCCAACTCTCATTGAAAATGTTCTATTTGATATAAATTTAATTTCAATTTGAACAAGCAAATGACTATCCAAAAGGAGAAAGCCATAAGATGGAGAGCAGATCAGATCATTTTGGTCAAAGGGGTGCCTTGGGGGCAGAAACCCCTCCACTAGATTTTTATCTTTGAACAAGGGAATGACACCTATAGTACTTGGTTTCTTTCTTTGTTTTGTTTTACGGCATAAATACCTCAGTGAGTTATTAAATATCAACAACTTTTTTTCCCTGGTAATCTTTCGTTTTGTCAAAAATCTATTTCTGGTCATATTTTCTCCTGAAAAATGTATAGCCGGTAATATTATTTTCAAAAACGTATTGCTGATAATATTTTTTTTTCAAAAATATATTGCTGGTAATATTTTTGTTTTCTGGCAATATTTTTTACAAAGAATTTCTGGTATTAATACCTTTTTTTTTACACTTTCATAATGCTTTTTACCTCAGTTTGGGAGTTAACTATTTGGTTAACTAGAAGAAGAAGAAGAAGAAGAAGAAGAAGAAAAAGAAATAGTAGTAGTAGTAGTAGGTGGTGGAGGAGAAGGAGGAAGAAGAAGGAACAGAAGGAAGAAGAAGAAGAAATTGTAGTAGTAGTAGTAGGTAGGGAGGAAGAAGAAAAAAGGAACAAGAAGAAGAAGAAGAAGAAGAAAGAAATAGTAGTAGTAGTAGTAGTAGGTGGAGGAGGAAAAAGAAGAAGAAGAAGAAGAAGAAGAAGAAGAAAGAAATAGTAGTAGTAGTAGGTGGAGGAGGAAAAAGAAGAAGAAGAAATTGTTGTAGTAGTAGTAGTAGGTGGAGGAGGAAAAAGAAGAAGAAGAAAAATAAATAGTAGTAGTAGTAGTAGGTGGAGGAGGAAAAAGAAGAAGAAGAAAAATAAATAGTAGTAGTAGTACGTGGTGGAGGAGGAGGAGGAGGAAGAAATATTAGTAGTAGTAGGTAGAGGAGGAGAAGGAAGAAGAAGCAGAAGAAGAAGAAGAGAAATAGTAGTAGTAGTAGTAGTAGTAGGCGAAGGAGGAAGAAGAAGAATGAACAGAAGGAAGAAGAAGAAGAAATAGTAGTAGTAGTAGTAGGTGAAAGAGGAAGAAGAAAAAGGAACAGGAGGAAGAAGAAGAAGGAAAAGAAAAAGAATAATTAGGAGCAGGAGGAAGGAGGAGGCGGAGGAGAAAGAAGAGCAAGAAAAAGTAGCGGATAAAGAGGAAGAAGAACTAGAAACAGTAACCCGTGTGTTACTCTCTCCTTGTTAAGTGATTCTTATCATCATTACCTTAACAAATCAGAAATCGAAAAACGTCGCCATATTGAACTACTCGGTGACGGTCGTAGCTTAATTCAGTCGACACCAGAAGTAAATTAGAGTGGCAGTTATGCAACACTGAGCTAAAACGTGGAATTTCTAAACGTTACAAGTGATTTTACTATAGCATTTCGTTTTAAATATTCTGGGATCACTTGAAAACCTTTATCGATCCAATATACAAAATGGTCATTGCGTTTGCATTCTCATAACATTTGCAATGAGCAAAGGTGTGTTTATTCTTGAAGGGATTGTGACAGAATGGAAAGCAAATGTCCAAACAAATATGCGAAACTTAAGGGTCAAAAGAGAATTGGAACATCGAGAATCGGCGTAAATCTGACAATAAGGTCGTTCAATGGTTGAGGGTGGTGGAAATTAAAGCTTGATATTTCTTCGGTAGAGTTGATGCATTTATCAAAATGGCACGTAGCTAGAAAGTGGAGGATTTAGAATCAATACAACGAGAGAAAGCTTATCATTAAATAGCTAGAAACAAAAAAGACAAAGAAAAAATAACTGGAAGAGAGGCATAAATGCCAGAAGAAAGAAAGAAAGAAAGTAAAAAGAAAGAAAGAAAGAAAGAATGACTGACAAAATGAAAGAAAGAAAAAAAGAAAGAAAGAATGGCTGATTGACTGACAAAATGAAAGAAAGAAAGGAAAAAGAGAGAAAAAGAGAATGACTGATTGACTGACAAAAAGAAAGAAAGAAAGAAAGAAAAAAAGAAAGAAAGAAAAAAGAAAGAAAGAAAGAAAGAAAGAGTGATTGGCTGGCAAAATGAATGAATGGAAGAAAGAAAGAAAGAAAAGAAAGAAAGAAAGAAAGACTCACAAAATGAAAGAAAGAAAGAAAGAAAGAAATACAGAAAGAAAGAAAGAAAAAAAAGCAATGACCGATTAAATTAAATTAAATTAAAAAAAAAAAGAAGAAGAAGAAGAAGAAGAAGACGAAGAAATAGTAGTAGTAGTAGGTGGAGGAGGAAAGAAAGTTTAAGATGCGTATGGAGGAGAAAGAAACGATGGAGCAAATAGAAAAGAGAGGAAAATAGAAAGAAATATACGACAAATAAAAACGTGGAATAAAATACAGTAAAATAGAAAGAGAAGAGATATAAGAAGAAAAAAAAACAAGGAAGTATTAATGAGAGAGAAATAAAAGTAAGAGAGAAGTAGAAAAGAAAATAATAAGAAAGGAAGATAAAATATAATTCCAAAAATAAGAAAGCAAACAGGAAGAAAAAATAAAGGAAGAATTATTGTCATAAAATAGGTAAGCGATCAATTAAAAGTAAATAAATGAATATAAAAATATGTAAAGTAATGAAGTAAAAGGAAAACATGAAAATAAATAAAGGAGCAAGAAAGAAAGAAAAAGAAGTAAAAGATAAAAAAAAAAGAGAAAGAAAAAAGAAAAGAAAAGGCGAAAGAAAAATAAGTAAGAAAGAAAGAGAAAAGGATAACTGAGAGAAGGGGGGCATATAGAATTCATGATAAGCATAATGTCTAAATGAAGAGATCAAAAAAGGAAACATGGAAAGCCGAACTAAAATGTAGTTCCGGAATAAAGATTAAAAGTGATTTGAATTCGATTGAAATTGGGGAAAAAATGCTGTTAACTTTCAGAAATAAAGTAAGAAAACAATTACAATTCTAAAAAGAAAGAAACACAATTAAAATGAAGAAAATGAAGAGGAAGACCGTTTCACTTAAGAAATAAAGAAAAAAATTACAATTCAGAATGAAAGGTGGAAAAAATCAAATTCAAAAGTTACGAGTAAAAGATTTCTAAAATTCAAAAACATAAAGAGAAAATAGAATAAAGAGAAATAGATAAAAGCAAGAAAATCCAGAAAGAAAATAAAAAACAAACTGAAGAAAATGAAAAGAAAACTATATCTATCTATCTATCAATCTATCTATCTATATATATATACTAGGTGTAACAGCAAAATTGTCCAAATCGTGTAACACCATATTGTCCATCCCCCAAAAATATTTGCTATCTAAAAATTCACTAAACTGATTGAGATACTTTTTTCCATGTTTTCAGATAAGACTTTTAGTAACGTTGACACCATTTTTCAGAAGAATCACTGAAAAACCTTTTGCGGTATTCAGCTAAAAAGAGATCAGGTTGAAATTGTTATGTGTCACAGACATTGTCTTTTCAACTAAGCATTAGTGAGAGTAAAAAGATCATTCATGCTTCAGTAATGGAACCAGCATTCGTATTCTGGCTTCCTTCTTCAAAGTCCATTGAAGAACCATCAAGAGAACGGTTAATAAGTTTTAAAAAGAGGGAACGGTATAGAGAAAAACTGAATGAGCAGGTCACAACAGAAGGAGGAATACTCATTCCAAGTTAGAGCTAAAGAGACCAATTACAGAAGAACTAACTCAATTTATAAGACGTTTGGCACGTGAGAGAGGAGTTTCAACTATGACAGTTCAAAGAGCAGAGAAAAAAAAACTTAAAAATGAAGTCGTAAGTCAAAGGTCTGAGGCAACGTGTTACTCCAGAACAGAAATTTAGGTTAGAGTTGGTGTAGATCGTCATGAATAAGTTGGAAAATGATCCCGAAATATATATATATATATATATATATATATATATATATATATATATATATATATATATTACATGAATCATTCATACAAAAAACAGATATAGAAGGTAATGATATAAATGGCGAGAATACATCTTCACAAACAAATTTAATAAAGTACATTAACCCCGAACCTGTAGATGAATGTTATGATCCCTGTTTATAAATGTATAAATTTATTCGGGGTTAATGTACTTTATTAAATTTGTTTTCTCGCCATTTATATCATTAACTTCTATATGTTTTGTTTTTTTGTATGAATGATTCATGTAATGTAAATTTTACTGCACCACATACTTGATATATATATATATATATATATATATATAGATATAGATATATATATATATATATGTGTGTGTGTGTATATATATATATATATATATATATATATATATATATATAGTCATCCACAGAGAGTCCTGTTTTGGTGTATCACAGCTCATCAGTGTGGTTAGATATCCGATCGCTTCAGGGGGCCGGGATCGAAACCCGACCGATATGGTATCAATCGGAGATTCTAACCCCTATGGCACCAATCACTCAGAGAATTCAATTGCTATATATATATAACTAGACTCGTTTCGAAAAACCCTCGAATTTTTGATTTGCTAATCAAATCAATCTCGAGGGAAAAAAAGGTTTTGAAAAAAGAAAGAGCTACCAACATGAACTTCTGCCGACAAAAAAATTGCACAGATGCAGGTCTGAAGCCCAAAGAAAAAACCCCGATACGAGTAACAACTAACTAACAAAAGAGCTTGTCTGGCTCACTAGGTGTATCTATATATATATATATATATATATATATATATATATATATATATATATATATATATCTAAACCTAAAGAACCAGGTAAACCTATATAAGTTTCACCTATACGGATCGTCGATATATATATATATATATATATATATATATATATATATATATATTAGGCAGGAAACCCTCTTTTATACATGTTTCATCAAAGACAAGAGAAAAGGTACTTTGATTAAGCTTTTCATTTAATTGTTTTTGCGTTCGAACAAGTGATGAAGCCATTAGGGTTGTATTTTCTACTAGTATGTTTCGGATGGAGTCTGTGTGTGTGTGTGTTTAAATGAGTTCTAATGTAACTGTGATCGGATTGATGTAATGTAAGTCGTTTGAATAGGTATGTATTAGTGTAACCGATGTAATTCTTTTTAAACTCGTAAATAATGTTCAAACATTATTTACGAGTTCAAATGACCCTCAAATGACTATATTCCTGATCAAACCAAACTCATAAATAATTACATCGGTTTCACTCCAGATGAATTACGTTACACCTATCCGACCACAGGTACATTAGAACTCACTTAAACAGACACGCAAACCTACTAGACTCCGTCCGAAACATACTAATAGAAAATACAAGCATAATAACCCCATCCACAAGCAAAAAAAGAAAAGATTAAAAATAATGGAAGCCTTAATAATAAAAAAGAAAATGACAATATTCAATAATATTAACTACGAACACGGACAAAATGTGCGGACTGTGTTCGGAAAATAAAAAAAAACCTGTAATTCTAGAATCATACACACAACAAATACATCCAGTTAAAAAGAAAATATAAAATCATCCTTGATAATGGCTAAAACTACTGCCAAAAGCGCAGGGAATTACAGAACATTTGGTCAATTACTATATATTCTGTGTCCAAGAAAGAAAACACTTGTTCGAACACAAGAAAAAAATTGAATAAAAAGCTTAATATTTTGTATTTTGTCTGTCGTCTTTTACTGAACCATATATATATATATATATATATATATATATATATATATATATATATATATATATATTAGTATTAAACTAGGACAGAAATTCTTAGCTCTAATTGATAAACACTTCCCCACCAATAATAAGCTTAGTAATATATTCAATAAGAACACCCTAAAATTGAGTTACAGCTGCTCTGAAAATCTTGAACGTATAATAAAAAAACACAATAATAAGATCTTGAACAAACCCCCATGCCTGAATAGTATTAATAAAAACCCTGCACTTATATGAGACAATAAAAGGGAAAAATTATGTAATTGTAGAAACCTAGAAGACTGCCCATTAGAAAATAAATGCTGCATTAAATCTGTGGTATACCAATGTACTATATCATCCACTGAGAGTCCTAGCACTAAAATGATATACATTGGGTCCACGAAGAATGATTTTAAAGATAGATGGAGGCAGCATAAGTTCTCTTTCAATAATATAAATAAAATAAATCAGACTTCCCTATCTAAATATTTTTGGCATCTGAAGGAAACAAATAGGACACCTAAAGTAAAATGGAAAATCATAAACAGTGCTAGAACATGTAAAACTTGGGATGACCCATGCCCTTTGTGCCTACATGAGAAATTGCAAATTGAATAATCTCTTAAACATGAGTTAACGATTTTTTGTCGACAGCATCAGATTCATGGTTTGAATAATTAGCTAAAAACAAGCATACAATATAATAACTTTCATAATCCATAGCCCAAATAAATAGTTTAAATACCCTACAAAAAGATAACCCTTTATGAAGTCGTCAAAAAACAAACGTTATGGCAATTTTTTTTTATATGTACAAATCCCTTTCATAAAAAAATTAAATAAAAGAAGTAAATAAATCTCCATAGACACGCTAACCAGACTAGATTTAATACATCTTCCGTTTCAAATTTAGACACCCCCACATTTCCCTGACTTGACATCTATGAAAGTAACTCTATACTGATACTTATTATTAACACCCAACACACGCCTACCCAATTTAAAAAAATCGCCCTAGCTGTTACCATGGAAATTTTGATTTCAATTATTAAAACACGTAAATTTCAGAAATACGTTATTCCAAAATATTTCGCTTGAAGATGGAACAGAGCTTACTTTAACTCAATTTAATTCAAATAATTATATTGAAGTTTTCGACTCTTGTTTTGAAACATGAAACCTCTTATGTCGAGAGTTGGAATCATATTTTTTAAATATATATATATATATATATATATATATATATATATATATATATATATAAAAAATAAGCAAGAAGATTAAAATATAAAATAAATACACATACATACACATATGTACATACGCATACACACACACATGAGGCGGTCCAGCATCCTGCTGGAAATAACCTATGGTCTGATAGTAGGGGTAAGTAAGCATGTAAAGTCACTGTTGTTGTAAAGAAATAC